CGGTAAAGTCCTGCACACAATAGAAGGAATAAGGAATTAGGAATAAAGAATAAACAATTTTAACCTATCAGAAATCGGATACATCGGAATACACGAAATACATGGTTTCTGATAGGTTGAAATTGTTTATTCTTTATTTCTAATTCCTTATTCCTTCTATTATGGGCACAGCCTAATTGACTCGAATCCGAGATGTTTCTTCTTCAGTGGTCGAAAGAGAACGGAATCACTCGTTATAACTAATTGCAATCAACTGCAATTTGCAAGACTTGCAACTTGCAACTTTGCAATCATAATATACGCCGATATAAGTATACACTGTGAGGTTAGATTTTGCGCACAATAGAACAAATATTAAGGAATAAATATTAAGATTTCAACTTATCAGATACCAATTACACTAGAATACACGATTGTTAATATTTATTCCTATTCCTAATATTTCCTCCATTGTACACTGGATCTAAGGACGTCCTCACAATAGAACAAGTATTAGGAATAAGAATAAATATTAACAACATGTATTCTAATATAACTGCAAGTAACTGATAGATAACTTGAAATCTTAAGACTCTTTACTCCTATTTCTAATATTTGTTATATTGTGCGCATGTCCTTAGAAATTGCTATCTTACTATTAGAGATAGGACAAAGTCTTTTTCCTGCAATCGTAAAACGAATCAATCTATAGAAGCGTTCACCATCTGCGCCGATTTTATCGGCACTCTTCTTTTCCTTTAATTAAATATATACTCATCCGTAAAAAAACGAGTTATAATAGCCTGTTTTAGCAAGTAAGTATAGTTTTAATTTATTTTTTCATTTTTATATCTAATTTATTTTAATTTACATATTATATTAATTTTTTAATTAATCATTTTTTAATTTTATCTTTTATAGTAAACTTTTATAGTATACTTTTATAGTATACTTTATAGTATACTTTATAGTATACTTTTAATTCAATATTACAGTAACAATAATTGTTTGCAATACAATTATAAATAATTTAAAATATAATACAAATGATATTATAGGAGCATAATTAACAAATTTTGATAATGTGAGATTATATGAAAACGTCGAAGATACATGCGATAACACAAATTTTTCTAAACCAATGTTCAATAAAATATTGATAAACGCGGAAGAAATATTAACAACAATTAAATCGTATTTACTATTAATTATATATTACTATTAACTTGCAAATATAAAACTTATTAATATCGTGATAAAATTAATATATTTATGACTTTCATCATTAAAGATAACTATTCCAATAATTTTATCATATCAAAGTTTTTCCGCCTTGCGTGGTATGCGAGTTAGTATCCGATATGAAAAAGAAAAATCTTCATAGTGGAGAGCGAACTTAATATATTCTGATTCTACGTAAAATTCACAAGATTCATTTGCAAAGACAATTTAAGCAATCCGTCAAATATCAGTGATTTAGTTACAGGAGAATTCCCGAATCTTCCACACTACTTAGGATAGTAATAATTTTAGCACGTCAATTACCATTTTTATTACATCTTTAATATATAATATTAAAATTCGCAAGAAAATATGTTCTGCCACACATCATTAAAAATCATATTGGATTAAAAATAAATGGATAGAATGATTTCCTTATGGAATAGTGGTTACAAAGGAATATATTTAATAATAATAAAATACATGAATATTGCAATTTTTTATATGTATGGGTACAAAAGTTTTTCGGATACCAGTTGTTCAAGATAAATCGAACCTTATAATAACGGGATTTTAAAGAACTATACTTTTATATTAAAAAATTTATTATATAAAATTTAACAATTTCTTTGTATTTTCAAAAAATTTTAATTATTATATTAATATCCCATTAATATGAGGGTACCTATTCGACTTATCTCGAATTTTTTGTACCCATACAATTTTAACTAAATTCGTGTATTCACGATAACATTATTAAAAAAATATAAAATATTTTAGTAAAAATTATCTAAGTTACAAAAATCACAATTTGTTAAATATAATCTCATAATATCTGCCCATATTTTATCAGAAACA